AAAACTCTTTGAGCATGTGTGCCACACCCCAGACACCCCACGTTCCCTGGTCATTCTGCAGTCCCGGGGGAGCGGTGCCTGACCTCCCACCTTGTGCTATTCCTGCCACCCCACCTCTCTGCCTTGCAAGCCCGCAAGTGTCAGCCTAGGAGTCACTTCCCAGGAAGCCTCCCAGCTGTGTGTTATTACGTTCTTCCAAAGGGCTTCATAGCAGCTGAGTTTGCCTCTAGAGAGCGCTCTTTACCTGGCTGATGCACTTACCTGGTTCCTCTGTTAAATTTAGAAGTTTGAAGGCAAAGGCTACGGTGTATCATTGTACATCATTGTTTCCTCTGCATCCAGTAGTGCCTGGTATATAATACTTACCACTTAAATACTTTATCTGGGCAGTGAATGCTGGCTCCATTGTATTACACTTTTTCTGCATTTATTGAAACCTACTATATCTCATGCACTAAGCTATGGCACCTAATAAATGCAATGGAAACTCAAAGTGTCAGAATCCTCAGAGAAAGCGGGCTAGAGTGAATTCTTGACTCTGGTGCCACGTGAGTCATAATCTGTTCTGGAAGCGAGAGTTTCTGTATAGTTGGGAGTTTATTCTTTTAAGTGCTTTTGTGCATCCACATAGTTACCTTTTATCTGCCTTTACAGGGGTCACTGAGGTTCATCCAGCCTGCCACCCTAAGCAACAGGATGCCTCCATCTTCTCTTTAACTTTGCTTCTTTTTTTCCTTGCTGTCAGTGTCTACCTGACTCCTTTCCCTTCACCACTTCAAATTCCATTACAGACCTCACTGTGCCAGCCACTAATGAGCTGAATAAGACATCTGCCCTCAAGCGCTTCACTTCCTTGTAGCTTACTTAGCAAACATTAATTGCATGCATTCTAGGTCCTTCTAAGTGTTGCCCATCTTGACTTCAGAACTTGGCCTTGAAATGGCCATTTTTCCAAATAAATCATGGCTGTCAGCTGCTTTTGTGTGACTTGCCTCTCTTCTCGAAGTCAAGTGTGAAAAAGAAAATTGCAGCTTCTATCTGGTGGGAGCTCTGCTGTTTTCAGAGGATGCTGACCCAGCACCAGGTCACCCCACAGTCATGCCCTGTTTAGCCCAGCTCTGCTGGTCCACGTTGGAACCTGGAGAGCCTCAGAGAGACATGCTTCCCATAGCTTGTGCCCCAGCATCATCCTAGCCCCTTTGAGGTCAGAAACAATAATGCATTCATCTTTGGTTTCCTGGTGCTGGTGTATGTTTGTGGAATTAGCAAAAGGATGGAAAGAGGGCAGGAAGGAGAGAGACATGGAGAAAGGGAGGGAGAGAAGGGGGGCGAAACTGAAATTGAGAGATGAGATTTCTTCCCGGGTAAGAAGTTAGAGGTGTCAAGTGGAGGATTTGGTCAACTGGTCCATTGCTGCTGCGTGTGTGTGAAATTTCCTCCCAGGGAGTATCTGATGTGCTGGAAGAATCTGATACCATAAACCCTGAAACAAATACTCCAAACCTGGAGAGTTTCCAATAAGGTGAGAACTAACAGTAGGATAGTTATGTAACGGGAAAAATCTTGAAACTCCTGAAGATTACAACTCTAAGGAGGAAAAAACTTGAGCTTTCTGAAGAAATCCACTGTTATGAGCAGCCATAGCAGTAACTTCTGATTAACATGTATTGTTTCCATTATGAACCTCAAACCATCTAGATTTAAGTGTCCTGTTATCTTTTCTCCACCTGCCCCTAAAGCAAGCTTGTTTGTGTTGCTGGGTTTTAGTAGTGTGAAAAGATCTTTATTTTTTTTCTGCTCCCATTCAATACGCAAATCCTATGTGGTATTGATTTTAGAGCAGAAGTTAAATTGGTTTCATCTCACATGCCAACTTCACTGGATTGGCTGTGGCTTACTGAAGCGTTCAGAAGCGTTCAGAAGCTGTATATAAGCTAGAGGGGGAAGTTCCATGCAAAGAGGGGAAGAGGGTTGGAGAGTGTACATGCCAAGTATTTGCTATCCCTGTTCAAGAGGAAAGTAACCTGGTGAAAGCAGGGAATAGCATCCTTTGGATTTTGACTCTGAAAAGAGTCAACAGAAATTGTTTTAATTTCATCTTCATTCAAAGCCTGAGACTGTTGGTTTTCAGATCATGTTCTACAGTGGTTTGAATATAGTATCTTTATGAATAGGGAGAAAAAGAGAGTTGAGTTTATTAACAGTGTTTACATCTTTTTCTCTAACCTGTTGATATCTGATCCTAAATTGGACTTCATGACCGTAAAGAAGGGCAGGAACAAGAGACTGTTTTAGAAGTTCCTCCAATATAAATATTTTCCAGTGGTTATTTCAGAAGCAATTTAAGCTTCTGAAACTTGAGTTACAGCTGGACTCTCCTTAGCCAGTAACTTGCTGTCCATATTGATAACCTGGAGTCTAGAGGTGTGCATTGGGAATTAGAGGGTGCTGAGGAGTGGCTGGTAGCTTTGACCTGCCACCAGACAGAGCAGGCATTTCTACAAATGTGTGTAGCACTATCCACCCCGAGGAAAACACAAAACACACAGAGCCATCTCATTGAAGGCCTTCCTTTTCAGATGGGGAAACTGAGGCTTGACCAGTGATTTTAGTTGTCCATACCAATAGTGACTTGGTCTGTAAGCCCCTGGGCCCTCATAGGCGGCTAGTAAATAAATATTCCTGGGTGTCCTTCATGTCAGTTATAGACACCACAGATGTAGTGAGAAGACCCTTGAGCCCCCAGCCTCAAAGAGCTTTCTGGCTAGTGAGAGGAAACAGACAAAAGCAACCTGACCAATAAATGCTTTAGGCTTCCCAGACGGCTCAGTGGTAAAAACCTGCCTGCCAATGCAGGAGACTCGGGTTGGATTACTGAGTCGGGAAGATCCCCTTGAGGAGGAAGTGGCAACCTGCTCCATTATTCTTGCCTGGGAAATCCCTTGTACAGGGGAACCTGGTGGGCTACAACCCATAGGGTCGCAAAAGAGTCAGACATGACTTAGGGACTAAACAACAACCAATAAGTGCACATAAAAAAAAAAAAAAAGAAAGAAAAAACATCCAAGATGACCAGGGATGCTGCTTGGAGAGGTTAACATTTGTACTGAGCCTGGAATGATGTAATTAGATGTAATTGGTGTTGTCAAGGTCTTGGGGAAGACTTTTCCATGCCAGAGAAACCACAAAAGCAAACACATCCAAGAGATGAAGGAAACTCAGTGACTGGAGCAGAGGGAATGTACAGGGTCTTGTCCACTAGCCCTGATGTCTGCTAAATTATTGTTGGTGGTGGTGGTTTCTTGTATGCCTTTAACACTTTTATTGCACTTGCTGAACTTGCTTTTAAGTAAACCTTTGCATCTGGTTGGGCAGTGCCTTCCTCTCTGTATAGAGAGATTATTAAGAATTCTGTAGATTGAGGTGAAACTTGTTACAGGAATAACTTCCTTTGAAGGAGGTGTGTGGTACAGGTGGGGCCCATTTCTGCTCTGGGGAGCTTGTGCAGGTTGGTAGGGGTGCAGTGACCAGTGACCACAAGCAGATTAGCTGGGTGGGGAGGGAGCAGAACGACACCATGGAGAGCTGACCTGCCCCCTAAACAATCTCGCCCAAGCTCCCACTTCCTCCTGTGTGCTGGGCAGTCCTGCCCTGGCTGCCTGCTCATTGTGTCCCAGGACACTTTAAAAGCAACGTATCACAGAAGGGACCTGCTCCCACACATCTGAACTCCCTCATCTCAGCTGCTGGCTGAAGTCTGGGCTCTGGCCCCTAAACTGGAAACTGGAGAGTTGTATACACTCCAGGCCCTTTCTCTCCTCCTTGGTGCCTCTGTCCTTGGTTGCCTTTCTCCCCAGTCCCCTCCCCTGGCAAGGCTAACCTGGTCCCTCCTAGAGGAAGCCACCTCTGCCCTCGGCCAGGCTGGGCTCCTCTCAGCTCCCCAGCCAGTCCACTTGTCACCCCGCTGGCCCTTTCCCTCAGTGTGGCCTCCAGGAGGCCGTGAACTCCTTGTGGGCAGGGAGCAGGTCATAGTCATCAGGTGCTCTTGGCTTCCTGCACCCAGTAGGGCTCCATCCATATGCAGTGACAAATGAGCGGCTGAGCAGGCCGTCTTCATAAGGAGTGATTTTAGCTATTTGTTCTCACCACAGGGACATCAAGGGAAGATTAGTGCTGAACGTGGGTAACTGTTTTCTTCTTTATATTCCTCTGAATTTATTGAAGTTGCTTACATAAGCAACTATCAGCTACTTTTAGAAATTTTTGTGGGGAAATGTATGCAACATAAAATTTACTATTTCAGTCATTAATACGTGTACATTTCGCTGACATTAAGCACATTCACTTTGTGTGCAACCGTCACCAGCATCTCCAGAACATTTTCCCAAACAGAAACTCCATACCCAATAAGTAATAACTCCCCATTCCTCCCTCCCCCAGCCCTTGGCAACCACCAATCTACTTTCAGTCTCTTTGGGTGTGACAAGTCTGGGGACTTCATGTAAGAAGAATCATACAGTATTTGTCCTCTTGTGTCTGGTTTATTTCACTGAGCATGATGTCTTCAAGTTTCCTCTATGTTGTAGCAAGTGCCAGAATTTCCTTCTCTTAAGGCTGAATAATATTTTATCATATGTATGTACTGTATTTTGTTTATCCATTTATCCATTGATGTACATTTAAGTTCACCTTTTGGCTATTGTGAATCATGCTACTGTGAACGTGGGTGTGCAAATATCTGAGTCCTTGTTTTAAACTCTTGTGGGTATATACCAAGAAGTGGAATTGCTGGATTATATGGTAAAATCATTTTTGCAATTTAGAAACATTTTAGATGGTTCTGAAATGGTCATTTCAGCTCAAACCAAAAGTCACCTTCAGACTGGGGGTGGTATAAAAATGCAGGCTGAAATTTCAGACCTTTGTTTTCATGACTTGTCTCATGCTTGGTGAGGTGAAATGTTTTGTTTTCAAGTGTGGTTTTAATTTTTTTCTTACAGCATCAAGCTGCTAGCTGTGCAAGAACTACTTGACAGAGAGGCCCTGGAAAAGGTAAATATTTTATTCTTCCTACCCCAGATCCACAAATTTAGAGCAGAGTGCCACACACAGGAAAAAATCCACTCTCTATTGCCAGAGACAGCATTTGCAACAAAGTTGGTCTGTTATTTTTTATCCGTAACAGTCAGTGAGCCATGCAGATTTTTAATCAGAATGCCCCCATATTGCTCATAGGCCATTAACGCTTGCAAACTCTCCCTTGCTTCACTTTTTCAGAGTTGGGTGAAAGCAGAGGCTCGCCTTGCTGTGGGCCAGGCTCTGGAGCAGGCTTTCTGTGCCTGGAAACACCACACACCCGATGCTGCCGGCATGCCAGATTCTGTACCTCCCTCCATCTCTGCTTTTGTGTGTTCTTGTCCGATCTTGTGAATGCTGAAATTGAGGCTGTGAGGTTAGGAAACTTGCTCTAATTAGTAAAATTAGCTAAGTGGCAGAGTAAGGATTTGGGCCCCATAGTTTTATTTCTAAAACCAGTGTTTTTTTCTGTTGAATAGTCAAGTTCATGAGTTTGAACTCCTTTGGGGGCTCCTTGTGCGGTTTGGGAAACTCCATCCTACACGTGCCCTGCAAGGAGCTAGTCAGTGTCTTAGTTCTCCACATTCAAGTCAGGCACTCAGCTGGGGACCTTTTGCCAGTTGTGGGTTCAATCCGTGTGCTGGGTGGCCCAGGTGGCACCCCGTGGGCCTCCCAAGCAGTTCCCCTGGGTGGCTCAGGACTCTTGCCGAGTATGTGGCCATGGTCACTAATTTGACTCTCTAAGAGTAATGAAAAAGAAAATGGTTAGCGAGATAAGCACCCAAACGATATTTTTCATATAATTTAAAATATTTGATTAGTGGTCAGTCTTCTGGTTGTCACTAAAGCAAAGTCTTTAAGCACCAGGAAGTGATGTGTGGGGAGGGAGGTATCTATCTGAACCCTGGCTCTGAATTTCACGTCCCTCCAGCCTTATTTGTATCACAGATGGAACAAGGGTGGTGCTGCCAGCCTGACCTCAGAGAGATGACATGAGAACCAAATGAGTTAGTGCGGCGGAAGGGCTTCCTAAGTGCCAAAGTTCTCGACTCATGAATTCTTAACTACTCCTATCAATTCTTAATCCAGCCTTTAAAACATACTAGGTGTACATGAAGATTCTTTGTATGTTCTTGAAACTTTTAGAAAGTTACCCCTCCAGAAACAATTTTCATCTCAGTATTCACTACAGGTATTTGTTTACTCTTAAATTAAAAAAAATTGGACAAAACTGGTAAACGCATGACGACCATGTGCTAAGGGGTATCAGCACAATAAAAACACAGGCACCAAAAAATATCTGTGGCTCTTTAGAGGCATGTTAATACCCTTTGTGGAGAGGCTCCACAGCCAAGCCGCTGTGGGATACTAACAGCTTGTGCAGTCCAGCAGAGAGGGAGCTACCGTGGAGTGGGCATCCTTCCTCTGCCACTTAGCTAATTTTCCTAATTAGAGCAATTTCCCTAACCTCACTGCCTCAATTTTAGCATATACAAGCTTGGACAAGAGCACACACAAGCAATAGTGTGGGGTTCAGACAGCAGGGCCCAGAGCCACCTCGTCCTTCTTAAGCGAGTTATCTTGAGTTATCAACCTTCTCTGTGGTTTACTTTCCTAGTCTGTAAAGTGGGACTCTTTGTAACCCAAAATTCACGGAAGATTTGAGAAGATTAAGTAGACAGCCTATGTAAAGGACTTAACACCATACCTGGCGCTCAGTGGTCCTGCAGAGTCAGCTACTGCCCATGTTTTTTTCCCTTCCTCTTCCTCCTCCCTCCCTCCCTCCCTCTTTCTCACCATGTCTGATGATGGTTTTGTACTGTTCCCCTGTCTCCATAAATGAACAGTAGAAAGACCAATAAAGTAGTTTAAATATGCACAGGGGCCAGCTAGAAGCCAAGGTCACTCAGTTTCCTTCTTCCCTCTTTCATTTGTGTGTTCATTCATTCATTCACACTACAGGCTTTTGTTGAGATTTCAATATGCAGGCAAGTAGCAAACATTTCTAGAAAAGCCCAGAAGTGATCAGTAGTCTTGAGCTTGGCAGCCAGTTGTATTTTGAGTGACACGTGGCTTATACCTGGCTTAGTGCTATTTTTTGCAATAAGATTGGTTCAGTTCATGTTAGAATAAGATACATTCCCTAAAGAGCCTATGAATTACAGATTCTCACCTACCCAGACAAATTAAAGAATCACCAAGGAAAGTTCTCGGTAAACTATAGCAATAGCTTTGCTACTCAGAGTGTGCTCTGCAGACCGACAGCATTGTAAGCATGTTAGAAATGCAGACTCTTGGGCCCCATTGCCTGATTCAGTTTTCATTCTGACAAGACCCCAGGTGGTTCATGTATACCAAAGTCCAAGAAGTTCTCCTGAGGAGTATCAGTTACTATCGCGATCACTGCTGTTGACTAGTCCAGTTTCATAGAGAACCTCTGAGGTGTCAGCTTTTTGCCTTAGTGGGCAATCAGGCTTGCTTTCTTGTGTCAAAAGAGAAGTAAAACACCAGAAGTCTATTTGTAAGCACTCAGTTTTTATCTCTAGTTTGCCTGCTTTTTCCTTTCATTGGTAAAATAGGCTTAGTTAATTTAATAGGTGGAGCCAGCAAGAATGACCTCAGACACACATCCTACAAACCTTGCACCTCTTTAACTATCTTTGCAGTTGGGCTTCATGTGGCAACCTGCTTTAGGGTTTTGCAATTACTGAACTCCTTAGATCCTACCACAATAGGGCTGGTCCCTTCCAGACAGTCCCAACAGTGGGGACTTACACATGCCTTTCACTTATAAGATGGAGGCTCTTCTGAAGGAGTCATTTCCCTCACAGCTATTTGTAGGTTAAATTTCACCAGCAAAATATTTAAATTATGTAAAACATAAAAGGCTACAAACGAGCAGCAGCAGGTTTGGAGCTGCTGCTACAGCTACAAGAATAGTAGTGCTTTTAGTGCTTTTTCTTGCTAATGTTAGACAGTGTTGTGACATTAGCATTTTAGTTCAAAACCAGCAGCCATTTGTCTGACTTGTACTTTCCCTGGCTTTAGGTGGAGAGCTTGTCCATTTTAGGAAGTACCAAGGCTTTGCGGGTTTCTACAGAGCACAGAGGAACTATGGGGAGACTGTTGTAGGAGAGCAGGGGTCCCCTCCCAGCCCCAGCTGTTTAGCCATTAGACCTGGCAGACTGCCTTCCTCAGAGGCCCTGGCCTCTTTCCTTATCCACGTAACTACTTTCTGATCTTTCCGCGGATCTTTCCTCTAAAAGTCGTTAAAAGTCGGGTTTCACAAATGATCCTTGATCACATCGTGAAGAGAGGAAAATTCTCCTTTTCATGCTCTGTTAATTCTTTCTCTGCTCCTTGATCCAGTAATTCTTACTGGTTTGAGGGGCTTCCATGTTTCATCTGAATGGAGAGGAGAATGGTGAACATCTGCTCAGTGACCGCCATATACAGAGCAGCAGGTTCCCAGCTTTTACCTCTTCAAACACTTTGTCTGAATTCAGGTGTCATCGTTTGGGATGGAGACTGGGAACATCTGGGAGGTCAAGTTTCTGAATTTCTCTTCTCCATCAATGTTACACAAAGCCATATCCCAGACAAGTGACAGTTATTTGTCATTTATTTAAAAAATAAGTTGTAGACCATACAATTAATAATTGCTTCTTGTTCTAAAAATCTGTTAGAACTTTGAGAAGTTGTGTCTGCAGCATGGCAGGCTCGTCTGTCCGTGGGACTTCCCAGGCAAGAATACTGGAATGGGTTGCCATTTCCTTCTCCAGGGGATCTTCCTGACCCAGGGATCAAACTTGTGTCTCCTACATTGGCAGGCAGATTCTTTATCATTTGAGCATAACTGTCAGGATATGTGACCTTTCTTTGAAAAAGTGTTTTTTTGTTTTTGTCAAATATCCATTAGGTGCCAAGAGCAAGGATTTGCTCTGAGACAGATGTAGGTCTTCCCACCTTCTCTGTTTTCTGTGCTTTAAGAGCAGGATGCTTTTGTTTTTCTGAACTCAAGTCACACAGACTTGTTTCCCAGGCTTTATAGATAGGCCCTATCTAACGTCTTTAAACGTGGCATTGCACGAAAGGAAACAAAAATATTAGTACAGCTTGATTTAGTAAGATCACTTTTCAATGACCCTTTCAAACAGCTTCCTGCAAAGCTGCAAACAATACTTTGGCCGTTCCCTCCAGCTGGAGGTCACCCTCTCCCTGGAAGGGCCAGAGGGCAGGGCACCAGCTGACCCTAACCGAGACCCAAGTCTGCCTGAAGAGCTGTCTGTGAGAGCCAGGTCTCCTGGGGGTTCAGGATGCCCAACTCATAGTCATCGCCTATCCTATCCCACCTTGGCTGCCACCCCATTTGCAAAATTGTCTAGGACAAAATGCCTGCCAGTCGCCATGCCTGCTGCTGCGGCTAGACATTTTTCCTAGAATTTCCAATGTGAAGTCTCACTCTTAGTCCAGTTTTCCTGCAGGTAGAGCAGATGATCTCTGTGGCCTCATGCTTTCCATGTGAGATGAAGCATATATATTTCACCAGCAAGCCTCAGACTAGAAAAATTGAACTTGGTGTTTGCATGTGGTGGCGAAGAGGGACTTTTTAGAAGTTAGTAGCTTCCTGCATGGAACTCTGCTCAATGTTATGTGGCAGCCTGAATGGGAGGGGATTTGGGGGGAGAATGGGTACATGTATGTGTATGGCTAAATCCTCTTCACTGTTCCCCTGAAATTATCACAACAGTGTTAATTGGCTATACCCCAAATCAAAATTTAAAAAAAAATTTTTTTAAGTAGTTAGTAGCTTCCTGGAGATTTTCAGAAGGAAATAAGAGGTAAATGATTATCACATAGATTTGTATGAATAAACTAAGGATGCCAAGTGCTTGTATCTCTAATTGATGGTGGTGGTGTGTTATAAACATTCACACATGCATATGTGTGTGTGCTTAGTCGCTCAGTCATGTCTG